ACCTACTTTTCCTTGGCCTCTTCAAATTGTACCCTTAACAGGGTGTCCTCTTGAATGAGGATCATCACTTCTTGCTCGCTTTGTTGCAACTGTGCCTCCAACTCAACGGCCTTGGGAGCTTATGCTTCCAGTGTAGGGAGGCGAGCTACAATTTGATCCAGCTCGGCCAACAGTTGATCCCGCTCAGATGTGAGTTTTTCTTTATCAAGGAACAACTTCTGAAGGTTCTCGGAAGCAAGGAAGTTAGCCTGCAAAGCAAATTCAAATTAGAAATCGTGTCACAGCAAAGATAGTAGGAACAACAAAGGGAAAAAATATCGCACTGCTGCGTTGTGCATAACATTGTTCACCATACACTCCCCCGAGAGAGAATGTATTTTGTTCTTATCTTTCTCTGAAGCCAGAGGCTTCAAGTAATTGGTGAGTTCCACCGACCGGGACAGTAGATGGTACTCGGTAGAGATCGAGAGGGAGAAACTCCTTCTCCTCTAAGGATCTGCGAAGGGGGGGGGGGCGAATTATGCCCCAAATTCCCATGGACTGGGGACTTGGAGGAAGGGACATCCTCCTCTAGGGTATCTACGACATGTAGCAGTTGCTGGTGGAGAAAGCATGATTGGCGAAGAAGGAGATGAAGCTGAGGGTGTCGTGGGTTGAGAAGCAGTTGCGGCAAAAGCAATGCTAGTTATTGGTTGCTTGCCAATCGAAGATAGAAAAGACCCGGTTCCCAGCCTCATGGTACCAGGAGCAGCGGCTAGGGCCCGGAAGTGAGAGTTGGTATCTTCCACTCTATGACATTCTCCATAGAGCGCCTGGACGTTATCCTCGGTTGATGTAACTAGCTCAACAGATTGAGCAGTCTGTTGAACTGATGAAGGTCGTCGCTTTCTATGTAGAGAAGTCCCTTCATCACTGGCTCCTCCATCATCATCGATCACCATGGTGTCTGTGACTGGATCGGGCGCGACACTCTTCATCTTTTTAGTTTTACCCTCGACCGTAGAGGAGCACCGCCTTTTTTTATGCTTGTTCTCTGGCGGGGCACTCCGAGAGGAAGCACCCACATTGGAAGCACGTACGGCGACACCCGTTAGGACGAAGGCCTCCTTCAACAACCTCGCTGTATCTGCGGAATCAGCCAAAACGTCCTCCTCGGGGACGATAACAGAGCCCTGCGGAAGACCTGAATTCAATAAAAGGAAAAGTTAGATAGTTTTCTTATATGTGATATAAAGAACAAGATAAATTCGAGAATTAATTTACCATGATTTTTGGCTTTTCACCCATATTTGAGGGCCAGTTCTTTCCATCGGCGGTTCTCAGGCGTGGTGACGTCCAAAATCTTCTGGACTTGTTGGACCAAACCTTCAACCCTATGTGGTGTCCACCGAGTTGCTAAAATAATGAAAAGAGAAGGATCAGTAATAGCATGGTACAACCTTTAATCTAAAAAAAGTCGGACATTGAACTTACGTGTACGATTCCATGACTCGGGAAAAGATGGGGTTGTGACTGGGTTGATGTCCCTGGTGGCAATTACAATGAACTGTTCCATCCACCCACGGTCGTTGTTATCATCCATGCTGGTGAGCAGAGCATGGTGACCACGTTTGCTGAAGTTTATCATTCCCTCACGGAAAATCATGGGAGAATAAAGGTTCATCAATCGAGCCAGGGAGAGCTCTTCCCCCGTCTCGTAGAATAGCCGCCGAAGATAGGCTACCATCCTCTACACATAAGGACCACCTGTGCCAAGCAAACTTGGTAACGAAAACAAAACTCCAAGATTACAGAGTCAAGCCTCCCGCTCAATAAGAACGGGTCCAAAGTGAAGGGATACATGTAAACGTACGTAAAACCCTTCTTGGGGAAGGTTACCCGTTCCGCTAGATCGGGAGCGATGATGTTCATATCATGACAACCACAGTCTTTCTTCACAGCAGAGATGCTAGAAGGACGGATGGAAGAAGGGTTAGCAGAAGGAAACTTCTCTTCAAAGTCCTTGGTTGTACTAAGCTTTTTGGGGATAATGGTGCTCACCGTAGGAGGAGCATCATCATCAGTGCTTTCCTTATTATTTGAAGAGCTGGAGCTCTTGGAAGAGGAGGCCATAGTTAGCAAAAAGATGCAAGAGAGAGTTGAGTAAGAAAAGTTGAGAGAGTTCAAAAAATTGTGATGTGTAAAAGGAGAAGAAAGAAGCGTATAAGTAAAGGAATAAGCGGCTAAGATCGTGGTCATGATTACCTCAAGAACCGGCAAATGTATTGCTGAGTCGTGGAATGAAGCGTGTTCGGAGCATTAAATACGGAGAGACGTGCGTCTAATCAAGCGTCAGAAACTTTTTAGAGGGGGTCAGTAAATTTCCCGCCAATAAAGGTATCTTTACCACCTTCCTGATGATACAAGGATGTGCCACCGGAAAGCAGGGACTATTTGTATAAGCTAAAATTGGTTCATATTAAATGCTCATATAATAGAGTGACACGTGGAACCAGAGACAGATGAAAAGCGAGACAGGTGGAAGCCAAGATCGGGGCAGCAGTCTTGGTTGGTACCGGAAAGCCCCCGAAGGGAATGTTGCTCATGAAGACAAATAAATGTTTGTCGCCCGATAGCATTTAATGAAGAATATTCTGCAGTATTAAATACATAGTCCGTTATAGAGAATATGACATTCATAGCCTGTCGTTACACATTCTTCAATGGTCCCCATAATTATCATTTAAGAGGGGCTTGTTCCTAGGATCTTATTCCGTAGGTGCCACTATAAATAGGGATTTCAACAACCATTGTAAGGACACAAATTTTCTGACAAACTTATGGTATACACTTTATTCTAAACTCAATAACACTCTATTTCTTGTTTATTGTTATTACTACTTTCTTTGGAAGCTCTGCTCCCGGAACCAAGCTATCTGTTATCTTACCTCGATTTCAACGCTAAATCTTGCATTTGTATTTAATTTAGTTATCATTTTGGGATTAAATCGATTTACGGATAAACACTTGTCTATAAATCACGAATAAATTTAACTGTATCGTTTTACGGGTAAACAAAGCTCTTACTATAACAACCTCTTATTCTTATAATAAAGTTTTTATGTTGCTCACCAATTCTTGGTTCCAAAATGTATTTACAAGCTGTCAGCTTGCTTTTATGTTTCCAGAGGGGGCTGGAGCCATCTTTTTTTTTAAGAAAGAAGTGGTTGATCCTCTCCTACCCCCCCCCCCCTACCCCCCCCCCCCGTTTTTTTTCCTATTATTGCTTGTGTAATTCTGTATACTGAACGAGTAATTTGTTAGGATAAAAATAATCAGGTGTCATGCAGAAACTAGTAAAGCAAACCTCGAACTACGATAAATTAGACATCAAAAAAGAAATATATCAAAAGAAACACAAATATTTAACTGGTTCGATCAATTGACCTAAGTCCGTAGACGGAGATGAGCAATTCACCATATAAAAGAAAGTACAAAATATCGAGAGAATAAACTCACAAATAGACAAACACAAGTGGCACGCTAAAACTTGTCCCGAAATTCTCCCTCTAAACAAGACTCTCAAACCCTATAAGACTACATTGTGGATGCTACTAAATGAGGAGGGGATCCTCAATTTATAAAAGTCCAGAGACTAACTAAATATGGAAGGTAAAAGATAAAATCAATTATATACTAGTAAATATATTGTCCTCCCTTTCTTCAAGTATAGTAAAACTAAATATAGTGAGAAAATTAGGACAACCAACTAACATAATGCACCCCGTTTGTCTTAGTGGTTAAAAAAAGAGAGGCAGATATAGCCCAAGCACAACTTTTAGCATCAACATTGTACAGGAAGGAACGAGCCCTTTAGGGAACACGAAAATATCTCCAGTTTGCAATGTTTGATTGAAGATCTTGTTCATGGTATCGATAAATCCTATTCCAGTGTTCCCGACATGAGGAAACCTGCAGGATACTGTAAAATTGCATCCTATTCTGGTTTATGTGTTTGAAGGATTTCTTCTCAGTTTGAATGTGGTAAGGACTGAAGATTTTGTAGCTATTCAGAGGACATATAAAATTAGAGATTTGAAGTCTGCCGATGAATTGCAGAAACAAAAAAAGAATTGCCAATCTCCTAAGAGTTTGATTCCAATGCAGTTATTTGTGTTAATTGAAAAAGGAACAAATTGCTCAGTCCTTTCCAGTTTTGGCTTTCAATATGGACAAGAGAAAACAGTTACTATATTTTTTCCTTTGAAAATAATAGCTTGAAGCATATATGTATAACTGATGCAACATAAGGTACATTAAATGCTTCATGTAATCCTCAGATGGAGCTTCCAGGTAGTTTCTGCATGCTATCAAAAAAAAAAAAAAAAAAAAAAAAAAAAAAAAGAGTTGGTAAAGCTTAGTTAACATCAATTATCAACAAATGCACTTTAGCTTCCTTCTCTGTTTCGCTTCCTTTTTTCCTTTTAGTTTATTGCTTTTTCCATATGGAACGTTCTGTTGAAAGGCCTTTCTTCATCCGTATTGACCTATCAAAGCTTGTTGCTGAAATGCAAGCAGTCATGAACTAGCTATTTTATACCAAGGAACTCTGCTAGCTTTAAGGCTTTACTTCCCGTCTCAAACTGATATTTAACTGTGTTGACCTATTATATGTGTAACTTACCGTTTTTTCGATAAATATTATAGTATTTAAGCACAAACATATATATAAGAAAAAAAATTTGTCTCTCAGAATGCAGTATGACTTTACTTGGCCATTTGATTAGGATATAGTCCATTTGATTAATAAGGGTCTTCTTTAAATTTATCCTAGGATTTTAGAAACTTGTCAAAAGATAAATCAATGGCGAGTGATAGAAGAATTCATACTATTTTAATTGTATTAAAATATCAAACAAACAAAGAATGAAAAACATGCTTAACCTCTCAAGCATATAAAAGGAATCAAATAAAACAGTACTGTATTCTGTAATGCAGATTGCAGCACTATCCTCAACATGTCACTCACAAAAACTTAGTAGTGAAAATGCAGAAATTTCCTAAGATGAAAGACCAGCCTTGATTTTCTGAATAGTGGTAACATCAGACTTGAATGACTTAGCAAGAATGTGATCATCGACCCCTGTAGAAAACAATGGCGAAACAGTTCCAGCATTGGCACTACCAAAACCAGAAACAGCTGTAGCTGATTTATTCCAATCAGAATTATACTGATAATGCACTAATCCTTTTGGGAACACAAACAAGTACCCAACTTGAAGAGTCTGAGTGTAAAGCTTGTTACTGGTGTCCACAAATCCAACCTCGAGACTACCTTGAACGACGAATAGCAGCTCAGCTGCGCGAGGATGGGTGTGGGGCGGGTTGACACCTCCTCCTGGAAACTGAAGTACTGCCAATGAAACACTCTGACCATCCAAAATTGGAAACTCTGCCTTGCTAGCTTTTGTTACTTTCAACTTCTCAATGACACTGCCAAAAACTCCACGCGTGCCTGTGAAGGTAAATAAGTTCCCATCTATCGCGCTTCCTGGAGGAACAGTGAAGTCGGACAAGATATCTGGATCACTAGCTTGAGCCATCAAAAAAATGGTAAACATGGCTACAACAAAAAGGACACTTTTCAGGTGGAATGACGCCATTTTTCGCTTGTCCTAAGAGGCTATAAGTCACAGGTAATAGGATATAGAGATAAGTTGTAAGAGAATGATGATTAGTTCCGTTTGACCACATATTTATAGAAGACCACAGAGCGAACCAAATATGCTGGAGGTGAGTGAGGCGGACCTATGTGTTACAGTGAGGGGTAGCTTCGGCATAAATTTTGTATATATATATATATATATATATATATATATACCTTGAAAATGGTTAATTTAAAGCACTTGGCACTCGGGCACTGGTTTAGCAGCATATTTTACCCCGTCGCGTAAAATTCCTGGGTCCGCCTCAGCTGGAGGATAAGCCAGTTGGCAATTGATGTTAACTAAGCTTGATCCATTTTAGTTCCTGATAGCAGAAACTACCTGGAGACCACATCTAAAGATTATACGGAAAAGGCCTAAAAATGCCACTCAACTTTCAGAAATGGTTTATCCATGCCATCCGTTAAAAAATTGTTAATTCCATGCCACTGCCGTTAAAGAAATGGCCCATCCATGCCATTATTAACTAACGGCTCAATTTTTATTTGGCTCATCCATGCCACAGCCGTTAGTCAATAATGGCATGGATGGGCCATTTCTTTAACGGCAGTGGCATGAAATGAGCATGTTTTTAACGGATGGCAAGGATAGACCATTCCTGAAAGTTGAGTGGCATTTTTAGGCCTTTTCCGAAGATTATATAATTTGAAAATCGTGTCGGTGTTCCTTTGGTTTTATCAGTTATATGCTACAAGATATTATTTTATGGACTCCCTTTTCTTGTAACAAAAACAATGTGGTCAAAGTGGAAAACATCACCATTTTAAGAAACAATGCAGCTGTTTTCTCTTATCCATATTGAAAACCAGAACTGGAAAAGTGTGAACAATTTGTTCGTTTTTGAATTGACACAATTGTCTGAGGGCCTGCAACTGAATCAAACAAGAGAGCCCCTTAGGAGTTTCCTATATATTGACAATTCCCTTTTTGTTTCTGCAATTTATCGGAGACTTCAAATCTCAATTCTTGTTTGATATGTCCCCTCTATAGCTATAAAATCTTTAGTCATTGATTCATGTCCTTAGCACATTGAACTTAGAATAAATCCTTCAAACACTTAAACCAAAACACAGAAAAACATGGAATCAAAAACTTCAAGCTGTATAGTTCTGTTAACTCTAGCAATATCACTAGTCATTTTCCAAATGGCATCAGCTGGCGACCCGGATATCCTAACAGACTTTGTGCTGCCACTGGAGGTTCCATCAGTTGATCCGTCTTACTTCACCTTCTCGGGCCTGAGGAGACTCATCGGAGCTCCACCGCCTGAAAAATTCAAGGCGACAAAGGCAAGCATGGCCGAGTTTCCAGCCCTGAACGGACAAAGTGTTTCCTATGCAATCCTGCAGTATCCTGCTGGATCTGTCAATCCTGTCCACACTCATCCACAAGCAGCCGAGCTACTTTTCCTCATGTCGGGCACACTGCAAGTTGGATTCATCGATACCACGAACAAGTTCTTCAATCAAACGTTGCAAACTGGAGATGTTTTCGTGTTTCCTAAGGGGTTAGTTCATTTCCAGTACAATGCTGATACTAACAATTGTGCTTGGGCTATATCTGCCTTTGGAAGTGCAAATGCAGGCACTGTTTCTGTTCCTAACTCTGTGTTCAATACCAGCATTCCTGATAACATTTTGGCTAAGTCATTCAAGACTGATATCATCACCATTCAGAAACTCAAGGCAGGTCTAGCCTGAAGATTCACATATACTTAGGGGGAAGTTTTTAATTTCAATATTCTTATTTCACATTGTTGTTTTTCACTTTCCAATGTAAAAATAATTAACCTTCTGAGGATCTGAATAAGGAGGTTTATGGCATGCTATCCGAATGCAAAGTCTTTTACAAATGAATTTCTTAATAAGAAGGTTTGTGTCATCGAAATGCTGTGATAATTTGAGAAAACTGCGGTAAAAGAAGTATTTTTTTTCCTTTTTCATTTTCCACCCCTACCTCTAGTCTCCACTAATTCTCCCTTATTTATTGACTTACTGGTACGACGGCAGAAGTAAAAATAACAAGAACACAAATAAACGGATAGAAAGATAGAATTTGGCAAAAAACTAATTAGAGAAATTGAATAACACTTGAAATCAAACACAAATACCTTTCAAGTTAAATTCTATTCAACCTAAACTATAGGATACCCTTAAGGAAGAATCCCTATAAAAGCTACCTTAAAGGTTTTCAAACAACAATGAAATTTATTTATAACACTCACTCAAGGAATTTATAATCTCAATATTAAAATACACTAAATTTAAAATAAAAGCATTAAAGGCTATTTATACTAAGGAGCTAAGTATTACAACTGATGCCTCGGGATCACGCCGTTCACCAAGTGTATTTGATGTGGAACCTAATATGTAAACCATTGTAGCTGATATATGAAATATTTTAAGTAAAGTAAAAGTGAAACAATATTTTAATTGTAACTAACCACATTCGAATAAAGAAAGGGGGCAAATTATAGGATAGTCTTCAATTGTTGGTCAAATTGCACATTTAGCCGCCCTATTATAAAGTAGCCTCCAATTAGAATCGAAATGCTCGATGGCAATCAAGATTGTGTCAGTTACTCTACCCATTTATTTAAGATTTTGAATTGAATGCTTAATACTTTAAAGTGGCTGGTAGAGATCTCGAGTTCAAGTTTCACCACCACCCTTTATGGAATTTTTTCCCCACGTTTTTGGCTAATGAAAAAGAATCTCAACCACGTGCACATTGTGGTGAAGACATTTTTTAGCAATTAAAATTGCGTTTTCTCTATAACTCTGAATATTTAAGTATAAGGCCAATACTAAAAAGAAAGTTTCACTCAAACTAATACAATCCTAGACAGTAAATTCAATTGAAGCCTTAGCTCAAGAGTGCATTATGAGCTATTTTCTCCCTTTTGTCCCTTAGTTTAGAGCCAGAAGTTCAAGGAAGTGCTATTTAATGGAAAAGAATACAACTAAAGTTTAATGGACAAATATTGCCCAAATAGTGGAGTAATTGATTTCTTATAGCCTGTTTGGCCAAGCTTCTTTTGAGGCAGAAGCACTTTTTTTTGGTCAAAAGTGCTTTTTTTCTAAGATTAAGGTGTTTGGCAAGCTTTTGAAAGAAAAAAAAGTGCTTTTGAGGAGAAGCAGAAGCAGTTTTGGAGAAGCTATAAAAAAGTAGCTTCTTTCCAAAAGTACTTTTTTGAAAAACGCTTTTGAGAAAAATACACTTAAAAGCAGTTTTTTAAAGCTTGGCCAAACACTAATTGCTGCTCAGAAGTACTTTTGAAATCCATTTGCCAAACACAAACTGCTTCTTACCAAAAGTACTTTTGAGAAAATCACTTTTAAAAAAAAGCACTTCTCAAAATAAGCTGATTTTTGCAGCTTGGCCACATGGGCTATTAGGCGGAACTTGAAAGAAATGAGGTTTCTATAGGGAAATAATTTGAAAAATCTGATCAGTAACATGCACGATTAAATGTATATATTTTTTTTGTTCCTGTAAATGTATGTATCCAATGAAAAAAAAAGGAGCTAGTTTTTTAACAGAGAAATTGAGGAAAGGGGTAAATATGTTTTTAAGCTACAAATTAAGTTTTTAAGATGTTACACTACATGTCAGGAAATTAAGGCTGTATGGTGGGCCGGTCTGGGACCGGGACCGGACCGGGCCCGCGGTCTTAACGGGCTAAACTGTCCCGGCGGGCCGGTCCTGGTGGGCCGGTCCCTGATGGTGTAGAAAGCCCGTGGCGGGCTGGTCTCTTGCGTGAGGCCCACGAGACCGGGACCGCTAAGCCCGGGACCGGCAGGCGGTCCTGGGCCGGTTCAACCGGGCCTAACGGTCCTAACGGGCTCCAACGGCTCTTTTCTAAAAAAAAAAATTTTTTTTTTTTTTAAAAAAGAACAACGGTCAGATTTTAAAATCTAGCCGTTGGCCTTTAATTTTCAACCGTTTGGAACTTTAAAAATAGCCATTTGGCCCTCAAACTTTATTTTAACCCCAAACTTTATATAATTACACTTTTTTCCAATTCTCAACTATAAATACCCCCTCATTCTTTCATTTTTACTCACCAATTCATCAATCTATCTCAATCTCTCTCAATCTCTCTCAATCTATATCTAATTTCTCTTCTATAATTGCTTATTTTATTATTGCAATTTCGTAAAAAATTGTGAAGTTGGTGAATTGAAGTATTCAAGTCTTCAACGATTTTCAATTTTCAAGAAGTTGTTCGGCAATTCGGTAAACTCGTTCCAACTCTTAAGTTTTAAGAATATATTTTTGTGTGTTTTAGTTTGCATAATTGTAATTAATATGGCATTTTCTTTGAAAAAATGTTTGGTGGTAATGAAAAAGCTAAAATTGGTGAAAGTAGTCTCCAACCTACTACCCTTCCCCCGGCTCCCCGACCCAGATCTGTTACCCGTCCTGCTGCTCCTATTATTCTTGATAGTGATAACCCTTATTTTCAATTTTCCGATAGTGAATTTTGCCATAATGTTGCACCAGGTGAACAATTAAATGAAGAAGTAATGAATGCTCTTTATCCTAATCAAACTATCTTAGAAAATGATGAGGAAAATGAGGATGTAGATGAAATCCGACCGAATTTAGATGATACACCTACTAGTCCTGTTAATAACCTAACTGATGTCCCGCCCGACCCACCTGTAGAAACCCCTACTTTTAATAGACAACCTTCTAAATGCCTAGAAACATCAATAGTTTGGAATTTTTACTCAAGTAAGAGAACAAAATAAGGCTAAGTGTAAAACTTGTGGGAAATTGCTGGCGCATAAATATACTGGAGACCGTAGCGGTACGGGTAGTTTGGCTAGGCACATACAAACACACCCTAGAGATAAAGTTAAATATTTACAAATGAAAGCGCAGCAAGAGGGGACAAGTGTAGATACTGCGGTTAACCCTAGTACAGGTTCAAATCTAGTTCAACCAGGAATTAACACTGTGACCGGTGGTATTTTATATTACGATCCTAATAAAGATCGTGAAGAATTAGCAAAGATGGTTACCGTTATGTGCTTACCCTATACTTTTCCTTCTAACCCTAATTTTGTGCATTATATTAGAAAAGTTTTTAATCCTACTTATAAAGGTTGGCCTCGCGCAACAATTAAGAGCGATATTTATAAATATAAACATGAATATGAACAATATTTGCGGTATTTATTTACTCATATAACTAATCGGATTTTTATTACTACTGATATTGGTAGAAGTAATAATGACTGTGATTATCTAACTGTTACAAGTCATTGGATAAATGAGGAGTGGATAATGCAAAAACGCATTATTGCTTATAGAATAATTAATTCACGTCACACAGGTAAGTTTATTGCTAACACTGTTGCAGATATTTGTAGATATTTTTGCATTAGAGATAAAATAATGGCAATTTCTATGGATAATGCTTCTAGTAATACTAGTGCTATAGGCATACTTACAACAACACTAAATGCTGCATTTAGTAATTGTTTCCATGTGAGATGTATTTGTCATATTTACCATTTAATCGTCGGTGATGGTATGAGAATTTTAAATTTAGAAATTGAAAAGGTTAGAATGGCTCTTAATTGACTTTTTTATTCAAACCGTAGAAGTAGACTTAGAGAGTATTTTAAAAAATGTGATGAATTTGGCCTTAGAGAAAGAAAGGTTCCTAAACCTTGTCCAACTAGATGGAATTATATGTACGAAAGTTTAGTAGTTGCATATGAATATAGAAACCCAATTAATGCAACGTTTAATGCTCGTGTTTGTGGTGAGGATGATGATGAAATCCTTACAAATCAAGGACGAATGTTAAAATTCTTATAGATTTTTTAGAACATTTTCAAATTGCTACAAATTCATTTTCTGGGCAATATTATCCTACTATTTCAAACTGTTTAGTTTATATTGCAGCACTATGTGATTTATTTGTTGAATTTTCGGAGGGTGGGGTAATTTATAAACTTGCTATAAATGCAATGAAAGAAAAGTTTAAAAAATATTTTTTCCCTATCCCCCCTATTTATGGTGTTGCTGCAATGTTAAATCCTACAATGAAATTAGGAGGTCCTCACTTTTGGTACTCAAATATTTATAAGGCTTTAGATCTTTCAGTTGAGGAATTTTACTACATTGCAGAGGCAAAAGGTCCTCAATTAAAATAAATGACTCAAACAATTTATAATGCTTATCAACTTGCGTTAGATAATGCTAGGCCAAATGTTCCAACCCCTACTTCGTCTAGTTCACAATCATCTAAAAGAGCTGCGGGCCTAAAAGCACTTAAATCTTGGACGGATTTAGGGTTCTCAAGGTGATAATTTTGATGAGACTTCACATCTAAATGAGCTTCAAGTTATTTGTCGCAGGGACTTGAAAAGGAGAATCCAGACGGCACCTTTGATCTTTGGATGGTGGAAGGCAAGGGAAAAATATTTTCCGGTTCTTGCAAGGATGGCTCGGGATATTTTATCTATTCAAGCTTCAACAGTTGCATCAGAGAGCGCTTTCAGTCAAGCAAGACTTCAAATAGGTGATCATAGAGCATATATGAGGGAGAGCTTGGAAAAATCAGTACTATTCAGAGATTGGATCCGCTCGGAAAGAAGAAACTTTGACTTGCAGAATCACAACCGGAGATAGACAAAGCTTATGAAGAAATGATAGCGAACTTGCGGAGGATGCTGCTTCGCCCGGAAGCGGTGATGAACAAGCTTCTTTTCCGCCACCACCAACGGAACCTCCTCCGAACTTTGAAGGATTATTGAGATTTGTTAGAGATACAATTGAGGTTATGGTGTAACTTGTACTTTGGCATATCTTCTTTAGTTTTTTTCCTTTAATGGTGGTATTAGTACCTTGTTGTGCTTCATTCCATTGGGGGAAGAAGACTAAGAAAGATATGTCATTTTTGGTAATAAAAATTACAAGACATGCCCTTGAATATCTCTTTGCAATATTTTTTTGTCTTTAACTTGCAATTATTTATAAAGCTATAATAATATACATAACATACAATATATACTACAAGAAAATATAAAGGGAATATATATACATAAACATACAATATATACTACAAGAAAATATATAAGCTCATATATACATAACATACAATATATACTACAAGAAAATATATAAGGGAATATATATACATAACATACTATATATAGTATACTATACTAGTATACTATACTAGTATACTATATATATTATATTTACATGAAAAGTAGTACTATATATACTACAAAACAAGATTTTTCAAAATGAGGGCCCCACCCCCAATGACTACCAACGGTCATATTAATTGAACAAATAGCCGTTTTTTTTCCAATTTACAAAACTAACCTTCTCTAACACTATAAGTACCCCCCTCCCTCTTCTTCATTTCAATACTCAATACTCATTTCTCAATCTAAATTTCTCTCAATCTCTCAATCTCCAATTTTCAAGACTTCAAGTCTCAATCTCAATTTTCAAGTTAAATCATGCCTCGTTCGGAAAGAGTGCGCTTATTTGTTTCGCAATACTATGAAGTGCTTGAAGAAAATGAAGAAGGCCAAATATTAAAGTGCAAGAACTGTGGAAGAGTCTTAAATTTTCGTTCAGGGTGTACCACAGGCATTTTAAGGAGGCATATAATGTATTGTGTTGAGGGTATTTATCCGCAAATTCGTCTTTAAAATTTTTCAACAATTTGTGTTATTTTAAAATTATTAGACGTATTTATGCTTCATGTTGTACTTTGTTATTAATTTATTATGCATGCCAATTTAGTTTTACTATTGATTTGTTATTTTACATTTTCATCAAACACTTTAATAATTAGATTTCTATATTATATATACTACATATATTTATATAGCGATGCATAACAGCAATTTATATATATACATACACATATGGTTTACAAGAAATTGCCTTAAATAAAAAAAAATAAAAAAAAAAGCCCGGAAATTAAAAAAGCCCGTTAGGCCCGCTAAGCCCACGAGCCCGGCCCATTTAACCCAGGACCATATGGGCTTAGGCCCGTCACGGGCTGGTCCTACCCGTTGAGCCCACGAAGCCCGGGACCGCGAAGCCCGGGACCGCCAGAGCCCAGGACCGCTAAGCCCGGCCCGTTTAGCCCATTTAGGCCCGGTCCCGGCCCACCATACAGCCTTACAGGAAATGATCGATTTTCATGCAATATTTGAACCACAAAAAGGAATATATATATGTTCCAAGCCGAAACTTCAAGGAAGTTTTGTGAAATTTAGGGAAGTTTTTAAAGTATTATTAAGCTTAATCATAGTTGAGCAACAAAATTTTCAAAAGAATGATGTCGTATGTTTATCAAATTAATGTATTCTAATATACTAAGTGAGAATAAAATATTTTCCAAGATTAGTGTCACTGACTGTTCTATATTTTCCTTGTTTTTCCATTTTTACCCTAACCTGAACTTTTCTATGAACTACCGTTCGCAGAGGTACCTAAAGGTGTGGCCTAATTGTCAATAACGTACATGATGAGGTTTCAGGTTCAAATTTCAGCAAAGACAAAAAAAACTACTCCTCCATTTCAACTTGGACATATTGCATTTACCAAGAGTCAAACTGTGAAGTTTGACCTACATTTTAAAATATATTATTTTATCATATTGATGTGAGAAATATTGAAACTTATAGTATTATATTTGTACAGTTTGAAGATCTAAATTTTAATTTTAAAATACTGAGTTGAACTAATCCAATTTAACTTTAAATATTAGTCAAATTGACTCTCGATATATAAGCGAAATATATCATTTGAATTGAAATAGAAGGAGTAGATGATTTATTCTCATCTATCCAAGCTTTGGTGGACAGTAACGCACAAGTCCGAACACCATGATTATAATAATAATAACTCCGCCTCAATGTCAAACAAGTTGGACTATGGATTCTCACTTCTCTATTTAACAGAACACGCACGTCATGTGAGCCAAATTAAAAAGTTCGCTATTTGTCCCCTTCAAACCAGGAAGATGCCAACAAAAATCATACAAAAGGAAACTTCACGATAATAAAGCAAGCATTTGAGTTTCTTTACTGTGAAGCATACCCAAAAAAAGCTGAAAAAGAAAAGGAAAGCTGAGAATATATACTATTCTAATATTTATTCTTTACTTCAGTATTAAGAGCTTTGAAAATCCAAATTAATTCTGTCTGATATTATTGCTGTAATAATACCGCGAAACAACGATGAGACTGCCATTAGTAATAGTTATTATCCTCCTTCACAGCCATCTTCTTCAGGCGAAATTATCCTCTCGCTTTCTCCTTCCTTCAGGTAAATTTATTTACTCTGTTGGTTTCTAAGCTACCTTCTTTTTCTTATAATTCGAGTTAAATTGTTTCTGTATTTTGTTTTCCCAATTTATAGTTTTAGATTAATATTTTTCCGTATTAGTCATAAGGTGAACTAAAGAAGTACTTAATTTAAAGGTAGTTTATCTTCTATATATTTGCATGTTTTAAAAGAATCACACTGATTTCGTAAATTTTACTGAGTTTAAGCTAAATGGATTAGGAAATTCACGCGAGGAAAAAATGGAGGAAAAAACCATAATGTTCTATGGGTAAAAAGGTAGCCTTCTGCATGAGGTATCTCGTGTTCACGCTAGGGCTGGGAGAAGGGTCACACCCCCTAGGGTGTGATGTAGACATCATACCCCAATGCAAGCATTGAAGGCTACTTTTACAGCTCGAACCTGTGACTTATATAGGTCACAGGAAAACTACTTTATCGTGTTGCTGTAAAGCTCCCTTCTATAATATTTATGGGTAATTTTTTTTTTGTTGTTGAGAAAATAGGATATTTTATATATTAATTTACCAAGGTGAAGGTGGAGGTTCTTTTCCAACATATTGCAACGTTCTATGTGTAATTAGTTACAAAATTCTTCTATATACGTACATGGTTTTTGAGCAAGGTGGAAGAAAACACAATATAAAAAATATAAAAGGAAGAAAGAAAATTAAAAAGTTAAATAGAAGAAAGGAATATATAAGCTATACTTTGTGTACAAAGTATATAATTCAATGATAGCTCTCTCAATTGAACAAAATAAAGGGAATTCCAAACTCTTGTCTATTAGATTTGATATATGCTAATTAATGAAATTACTAACCACCAGAATATATACTGATTTTCATACTCTACTAGCTTAACTTAACAGGCATTTAATTTTCTAGATCAATTAATTATGCCAACTGAAATTACCGTATTAACCACAAATTTCAAAAGTCTTTATTTTTTTTTAAACTCTATGCTCAGTTAAGCAGGTTCACATAAATTGGAACATAGGGAATAATAATTATTTTTTATACTGCTTTACTAATTTGAATTGACGAGACATATTCAATTTGAGATAAAATATGTTTTAGACTTCAAGGTTTTAAATCTCTAATGCAGTCACACCTAATTTCTATAACAACATTATTTGTTCCAGTTTTTTTTTTTTTTTTTTTTTGACCGTTATAACGAATTGCTGCTATAAAGAAATATAATATCGTAACATAAAAATTAATTCCAGAAAAGCTTGACTTTTATATGATATTGTATAGAAGTCTGACCGTAGATGTAATTTAAACTTAACGACTTTAATTAATTGCCACTTATTACATTATGTGCCTTCAACAGAAGAAAAATTGTCAATCCGTGTGGACGAAGTTGTGACGGTCAATAAACGTGGAGGTGGTGCAGCTGGTGGGCACGGTGGCCATCACAGTGGCGGCTCAGGAGGAAGAGTATCGCCCGGCGGTGGTTCAAGAAAGTCACCTTATACTGCTACAGCAGGTGTGATCCCAGTGTACGCAGCTGGAGCTATGAACCATCACAATATCAACAGAAGTCACAATCATAATGCTGGCACTACCCTCAACTGCATTTGTTTTTCTTCCTTGCTTTTTATCGTCTGCAGTATGCTTATGATGCTGTAATTATACGCGTAGTATCTTTAAACCGGTTGTAAATTGTAATTAAAACATGTTAATATGAGAGATGAAGCTAAAAAGGACATGTATTACTACTGTTTATTGTGCAATGGGATACCATTAGTTTTGGTTGGATAATATCTGTACTTTTAAAGAGGGAAATAAATTTTGTTGAAGGAACTTCGAAGTAGGGGCGTATTCAGTGTAGAGGTTACGAGTTCATCTGAACTCATAGCTATTGTTCATACTAGGGGTGTTCATCGGTCGGTACGGTACGGTATTTAGACATTTCGGCGGTATTTTCGGTATTCGGTTTCTTAAAATCCTATACCAATACCGTACCTAATTAAATTCGGTATGGTTCAGTTTTTCTCCTTTCGGTTTCAGTTTATTCGGTTCGGTAACTTCGGTTTATTTGGTTTGAATGGTAACTAGTGGATAGAGCCATACACTCTAATATTCTTAATTAAAGTACTCTAAAATACAAAACTGAAAATGTTTGTTGACAAAAATATTGTCCAAAACTAGCAAATATCGACCCAAATGGAGAAAATTGTACATAAAAGAATATTTGATCATTAGAAGTGTCTTGTTACTTGTTTAGAGTTAAGTAATGAACTTTGAGAATAAAGGAAAGTAAAATTTTAGATTTTTTATATTTATGTCATAATTGATAATATATGTTTTGTGTAATATAATATATATTTCGGTACGGTATCGGTATTTCGGTATTTTATCTTAAAATACCAAATACCATACCTAATACCAATTTTTTTTAAAACTTAAACCAAATACCATACCAAATACCAAAATACCGTATACCAAATACCAAAATTTTTCGATTTCGGTACGGTAATTCGGTATTTACCAAATTATGCCCAGCAGTGGCGGATCCAGAATTTTAAAGTTATGGGTGCTCGCCGATAAAAACTTCAAAAAAAGAGGAAAAATAAATTTACTTGTGGGTGCTCGCTCAATATTTATCTAAATATTTGTACAGTTGCCTATATAAATTTATTAATATGATCAAAGTTAATGGGTGCTTAAGCACCCACAACTTCCTATGTGCATCCGTCACTGATGCCCAGCCCTAGTTCATACCTAATATTTTTATCCAAAAAATTATTAAGTATGTACAAAGCATAAATTTTGAACCTATTGGCTAGATGAGATGTGATAAAATTACGAATCTAAACTCATGAAATTTAAATTCTGAATTTGCCCTTGCTGGGAAGTGCCTTATAACTGTTAATTTATGTCCCATATTGGAGAGAAGATGTTTTCGGTATTGAGCAATATTCCTCAGCTCACCAACTCACGAGCTCGTTTCTTATGTGGTCGAGTTAGGCTTAAAACCCCAATTTTTATGCGGTATCGAAGCCAAACTAATCCTTATCTTTTTATTTACTCCCATGTTATGTTATTCATGGTCTAAATGTCTGTACACGGTTAAGATCGGGCCTCTCTAATTTTGTATGGCTAATCGAAATCGGGGTGGCAGACCAAGGCCCGACCTCGCATTGCATCGGACCATGGCACGGAAACTGATCGCTAAGCTCGTCAGTCGATGATCGATCAAGATCGAGACCAATCGCGATCGAGACCGAAGCGAGATGGGAACCGAGCATGATCGAAAAAAGCCTGCTAAACCGAATAACAGAAAGCCGAGATATCCGTGACCGGGCAAGGATCGTGGCGGAAATCTCGGCACGTATCAAGTCAAGACCGGACATTTAGCAAATCATGTGATTTTCTTCTGTATTTAGAATTGTAACATAAGTGGAATTCCTCTACTATATAAAGAGGGTTTAATCATTTTGTAAACATCATATTCACGCATAACAAAGCTGTCACGCCCCAAAATCCGAGGAGCGCGACCGGCGCTCAACTGAGTAAACCCGACTGAGCAAGCCTGTTAGGTTTCATTCTACCCAAACTAATTCATGAATAAAGAGGAGATGAACTCCATTAATCATACTTTGTACATATATCATTAACGACTTCCATTTCATTTCCATTAGCAACTTCATTCATAATTTTCAAAAATATTACAAGTTTTCTACATCTTTGCGAAATATTAATATTTCTAATTCAATTCCCCATTATCAAACTCCACCCACAACCTGTCTACGGAGCCTCTAAATATAACTGAAGAATAATATAGAAATGCCGGCAACAAGGCTCCGGCTATACCTCAAAATACGAAAGTACATGATAAACAGATGAAACAGGACCCCGAAATGAAGTGGGGCTCACCAAGTCAGCTGAAAGGAAGATGCGTCACTAGCTGCGACCAACACTGCCTGTTATGGAAATACCTACATCCATTTAAAGACGTAGTGCCCCCGGCAAAAGGGACGTTAGTGCCGTCGAATAGCACTAGTATGTATAACTAAACACCATCTCATTAGAAAGAACTATCATACAAGAACAAAAAGACATCATAAGGACAACAAAGCTTCACATAAGCACCACGTTAACAATATGAGAGGTTCACATAGTTTTCACAAAATTTCTGAAATGTTAGATTGGGGCATTCCATATCGTTGCATCATTATCCACATTACCACCGCTTCCTTGAGCGGAGTCCGATCACGGCCCGATTGGCTAATCCGTCTCCCCGAGACGTTACCATTATTTCACTCTCACTTTCCAGTTTCAATTATCAATACACTACCACCATGTGTGTATAACATGGCATCCGATCACGGCCCGATCGGCTAAGCCGTCTTACCAAGACGTTACCTCAATCACAATTTCATCCTCACTTTTCGATTTCAATATCAGCATAATACCACCATGTGTGTAGCATGGCGTCCGATCACGGCCCGATCGGCTAAGCCGTCTTACCAAGACGTTACCCTTTTCCATTAATCATCTCACTTCAATTTTTGTTTCACATATATTAGTTCATAGGCACTTAGGGCCACAATTTCCACATCATGTCCACTTTCAATACAAACATTGCAATTTAGGATAACAGGTACAAACAGGAGCAATTCAAGTGTAAACATAGATAAGATTTCACATAGTTGGCATGACAATCTCAATTTAAATCCTGACATTGAGGTCTAGGCATTCCAACACATGGTTTCTATTCTTCACACATCTTTAAATTAGCAAGAATAGTATCTTAAACATGTTGAGGCACCCCTATCACGTATACACAATTGCAAAACCAATTCATGTGAAATAACAATCAATTCATCATCAATCCTATTTTAGTCTTACCACATTTGCATATACACCAACGGAGCTCGATTTCTAATAAAAGGAGGTTTTAGCCATACATACCTCAAAGAGCTTCCCCTTAAGTTTCTACAATACACCAACACCTCTAGCAATAACAATCTATAAGGAGATAGCGGAAATCGATTAATAATTAGGAAGATTACCCATGGTGTAACTCTCTTAGGAATTTCATCAAACACCTAACATGTGAAGTAGACTACAAGGTTTAGAAATGGCAATTCCTTCCTCCCTCAACCAATTTTAACATGAATTATACCCATTTAGTTCTTCAACATCACATACTACAACTTAGTCCCACATGCATGGCCTATTTCTAACCCCCACAACATATTTGAACCATTAACCTCTTGCATGAAATTTTGGAAGTAGGACTTACCCGGATGGAGGACAATCTATAGTTATCTTCCTTGATTCTTGAAGACTTGAGCAAGATTTGGATGATTATGAAGCTAGGCCCCTCCTTTCTCTCTCTATATGCTCTCATCTCTATCTAAAATCAGTAGAAAATGACCCCAAATGAAGCCCCTCAACCTATTTATGAAAATGGGGTCGGGTTATAAAAATAAGAAGATTAACCCTCAGAATTTGGGTCTGCGATCGCAGAATGGACCGCAAAACAAGAATGTGGGCCGCAGAATGCATCACCAAATAGGTGCCCAAAACTGGGCAACACTGGCCCAATCTGCGACAGACCTGCGATGGCAGAGTAAAAAATGCGACATATTTGCGATCGCAGATTCGACACAGGATCGCATTTTTCCAGTCTTTGGTAATTTGATCATAACTTTGTGTAGGAATGTCTAAATGATGAACGGTTTGAAGCGTTGGAAACTAGACTCAAAGATCTTTCATATGATAGGTTGTTCATCACATAAAACCTTATACATATTTAGATATTCTTGTTCAAAGTGTGGACTTGTGCAAACACATTTGGAATTTTAGCCCATTATGAAATTTTCTAACTTGACTTAGACTTAGGCCTCCCATTAGACCACACATTACTTATTATAAGACTTAAACACTTATTTACCAAATTCAATTGATGCCCATCATGTTAATAGCATATAAAATATTATAATTAGCCTACAAGGCACCTCGAAATCCTAAATTACTTAGCAAAATTTTCCGGGGCCTTACAAAAGCAATACATTACATTTTCTCTCTTGAGTTCTGTTGTTCAGTTCATACTCATTTGTTAGCATATTCTGTTGGTTCGAGGGCGATCTTGCTCGAAGGCCATAACTGCTCATTGTATTGGTTTGCTTTATTTTACAGTAATTTCTAACATTAACTCGTATATTTCTCAATTTGTGCCAAGTGAAATCTGTTGGTATTACTATGTTCGAAATCAGAAAATTTTGTAAAGTAAAAGAGAAACAAAAATCCATAGAAGAACAAAATTAAATTCGAGCCCACTGAATACCCAGTGTGTCCTTAAGGAATTTAATCCCCTCATTGTTGCCCAAGGTATACGGATTAATTCCTCCCAGGATAGAATCGGAATAACGATTCTGTGATAGCGGCACTTCAAATCACAGAACTTCAGCGAACTCAAAAAACAGAGCAAATCACACTTGACACTTATGTTTATTTAGAAAATAATGCAACAACGTAGAAAAGAGGGGACAAGTTTTTCAGAGTTTCCATGTCTGAAAATTGAGGACAAGCCTCTAAATTTATAGACAAATGAAGGGTGAGATAGAGAGGTGCAATCCAAAAGGTGCCTCTTCCATTTTCCATTCACACCCTTTAAAGAAAAAACGCAACAATTCCCCACATGAATGGGGAATTGACATATGTGAAAAAACATGCATGAAAATACTGTGTGATTCGCAACTAAGGAT